ATTGTGCTGGCTTCCGAGACCAACCTAGAAACGCCGCTCACAGCTGCCGTCCTGGAGATGAACCCTGCGACGCCGGCTGCTGCTGGCAGCAGCATGGCCGAGACAAAGGACACGGACAGTGATCACGATGGAGAGGAGGAGGACAAGAAGGAGGACACTGCGAGCTCATCGGGTGGGTTGTGTCTGCCTTACTCTGTTGGCATGTATACTGATGGGCCGCAAATAAGTGTGTGTATATGTCAGTTGTTAAACTTATTAGATACCATGTACACATCTTTGTCAATCCACTGCTGGATGAGGCCTCCCCACGCTGTGTGGGTCGGGATTATTTGATAGTACTCGACCACTGGTAGCACAGTTGAAGGCAGTGAGCATATACGTTGGAGCATTGTATAGGAGTGGCTTTTACTGCACTGACCTCTGCTGACAAGATGCCCCGCAGCAGCCTACAAGACCTGTTTTATCCAAGGTGGTCCCCCATTCAAGCACTTCCCAGGCTTAACCATTAAACCATGCTTAGCTTCTGAGATTGGGTACATTCGGGATGATTTGGTCATAGGGACTGAATATATCCTCTACTAAACGTTACATGTAGTTTCATGATGAACATAATTTTTCGCATTTGCCATTTGTCTAATGCATGACCCTGCTTATTGTTTTTAATCCTGCACGGAGCAGCCACAGAGGAGACGAGTTCGCGATGTGAGACACCCGTTAGGCTCAAGCCGTCACACTCGACGGACTGCGCTGATCCCGTGGAGTGGACTGGAGCCGAAGAATCCCTATTCCGGGTTTTGCACGGGACTTTCTTCAACAACTTCTGCGCTATCGCCCGCCTCATTGAGACCAAATCTTGTCGACAGGTACGGATGGTGTTCCGTATTTTGCAATTACCATTCAGACAATCCATCAGATGGCTTTTCCTGTCAGTTTTCTGGTAAAAATGAGTTTTGCAAGGTGACTGGAGTGAAAAGGCATTTTCGACGCGTGTTTAATTTGTTGCCTTCAGGTATACGAGTTTGCTGTTAAAGAATCATCAGTTATGCCTCGAGTGCCTACTGATGATGCCAACACACCCCCTAGAAAGAAGAAGAGAAAGCACAGGTGATGGGACAGTGGCCATGCCAAGCAGTGATGCAGCAGTATAATACATGGCAATTCTACATTTAATTTAACTCAACTGGCCATCCGTTGTTTACACTCCTGCTCTCCCTGTTTTTACAGGCTATGGGCTGCTCACTGCAGGAAAATACAGCTAAAGAAAGGTAAACATTCAAGGGCTTGTAAAGTGGAATATGAACAAAACATTAACGTACATTCCATGTTTAAACTAAAAGTTATAAATGTTTTACTTAGTGTCTATTTTCTGCACACTCAATTCCATCTGCCAAAAATATATTGCATTTAACACATTCATCTACTTGTGGTTAGTGCACTGCTCTGAATTTGGTGGCCCAAATTAATTTCCTTGCCACAGTGGCGAGTGATGTTTTAACTAGCTGGGCCTCTGATCCACCAACCCACAATAACCAACTTGGTGAAAAATAGTCAAAACAAACCCCATAACTGGAATGGGGAGGCCTTCATCCAGCGGTGAATTGACAAATGGCGAAAAAAAATAAGCTACGCAATTTTTTGTGACTTATTAAATGTGGTTCATCTCCCAATACTTTAAACACATGAAGGCATATTATCTTCTTCCACTTGTTTACTGCAGATTCGTCATCCAATCACGTGTACAACTACCAGCCATGCGACCACCCGGGCCAGGTGTGTGACAGCTCCTGTCCCTGCGTCAACGCTCAGAACTTCTGCGAGAAGTTCTGCCAGTGCAGCTCTGAGTGTGAGTGAAACTGACTCTCACATACGCTCACCCACGCACACAGATAACTCCAAAGCTTGGGTTTTATGAGCAGCTTTTTTAACCTCTTGTAATAAAGGCAATCTCTACTAATCAAGAAAAAACACATTAAAGAGCTGTTTATCCTACTCTTGAGTTTTCACTGCTTTTATATGTGTGCATTGTGGGTAATTTTGCTGTAATTTTACAGTCATTTAAAATTGCTGAATTACATGTTAGGAGAGGCAAATTAGTTAACTTTACCGACCTACAGTATACAAGTGGAAGTGTAATATGTTCACTTTTTACACATTGCTTGATTGAATAAATTTCGATTTTATTTGAATGATGTATCCAAGTCCATTTTAAATAAAAAACACCTTTTCACGTGTTAGTGAAAATTTTTAGCTACTCCTTACCCATACAGTTGCCTGCTGCCAAAGTGACTAAAGAGGACAGGGAGTGATGATTTTAAGTCTCAATTAAAATCCAAGGTTACATTTCTTGCCTTTACCTGCCCCCCCACCCCCTTATAAAAAAGTACACTAGTTCTATCACCTTATTTACATGTTTTTGCATAATTCACGGTTTTGTTTTAAATTGGCCACTCTTACCTACCAATGCCCTGGCTAATCGAGTAGACTGTTTTACTTGTGCCCATGCAGGTCAGAATCGGTTCCCCGGATGCCGCTGCAAGGCACAGTGTAACACCAAGCAGTGTCCTTGCTACCTAGCGGTGCGCGAGTGCGACCCAGACCTATGCCAGACATGCGGTGCCGCAGACCACTGGGACAACCGCAATGTGTCCTGCAAGAACTGCTGCATCCAGCGTGGCCTCAAGAAAGTGAGGAACGGCTCGTGCCCTTGTTTTTTTCTTTTTATTTGTTCAGAACGTGTACAGCTCCTTTGTCAATGCACCGCTGGACAAGTTTCACCTTGATGTGCGGGTTATGACCCATACTGGTCAGAGGTGAAGGTGGGCAGCATGTAAAGCACAGTAATGGATTTACTTGTTACAGCGTTTATGAAGTTAGATTTTTGCCACAGCCTAAATTTTTGGGGTTTTTCCCCACGATGTTCTTTGTACATGGTATAGTTTTTAAATGTTACAGGTTCTTCAATTAGAATTGAAAAAGGTTTAGATGAAAGCGCGAATTGGTTTTACACAACACTGCATTATTGAAGGCTAAGTACACCAGCTTGTGCCTTTCTCTGTTGGGGTTGGTCTTGCAGCACTTGCTCCTGGCACCATCCGACGTTGCTGGATGGGGCATCTTCATCAAGGTTCCCGTGCAGAAGAACGAGTTCATCTCTGAATACTGTGGGGAGGTAGGGGGGAGCTTTGCTCAGCCATACGCCCAATTTCTAAATGTGCATCTTAAACCGCCTTTTAATATCACGAGAATGTATGAAGTTTGATTTCCGCTGAAGTTGTTTATGCCAACAGATAATCTCACAAGACGAAGCAGACCGTCGAGGAAAGGTGTACGACAAGTACATGTGTAGCTTTCTTTTCAACCTCAACAACGGTATGTTCATTCGCCACGTGTTTCCCAATCTGTGATCTCTAGACCATGAGTGATTCTAAAAGTTGTGGAACGGTCAGTTTTTTTCACAGCCCTTGAAATAAAAGTGCTTCGAGTCGGTTTGAGAAAAATATTGGTGCATGGTGGTTGACAATGTTTGACGGTTCAGTCTTGTGAAAAGGTTAGGAACCATTATATAAGGTCAAGCATTGATACTTTTACATTACTTAACATTCTGCACCAGTGGTGATTATTTGCCATATACATTAGTACACCTCACAGATCTAACCTTCCTGATGCATCAACTTTTTTTTTCAGACTTTGTGGTTGATGCTACTCGTAAGGGAAACAAAATCCGGTTTGCCAACCACTCTGTCAGCCCTAACTGCTATGCCAAAGGTAATCACTTGCAAATATCCACAACTTTTTTCAGCAAAATAACAAGCATTTGTAAAAAAATAAACAGCCCCACTTGCAGTCACTAACAGTGTTTGTCTTCCATTCAGTGATGATGGTGAATGGGGACCACAGGATTGGTATTTTTGCCAAGCGAGCCATACAGACTGGGGAAGAGCTGTTCTTCGATTACAGGTACACCATTGGGACGGCTAAATGCTTGGTATGCATATCTTAAAACAGGTGTTAGTCCACTGTTTTGGTAAACACAGCCGATGCTTCTATTTTGTAATGGTGCAAATCACTGACCTGGCAGTACTGGGTGTACTGACTAAGCATGTGCACTTCAAATCCTGCCCAGTGCTATTAACACTGGGAAATATATAATTAGCAACAGTTTCATGCAACATTTAATTTCACTAAGACCATACAAGTATGTAGGCATGGCCTGTTGAATTTGGACTTTCCATTTTATGCCTTAGGAGATCACGGCATTGGTGAGAAAGGGCCAATACCTATGAGTATAGCTGTTAACTGTCAAACCCTTTTCTCCTGTGCACAGGTACAGCCAAGCAGATGCTCTCAAGTATGTTGGTATTGAAAGGGAGATGGAAATTATTTAAATTTTTTTACATTTGTGGCAAAGCTACCTTCTCTTACCGTATGCATCTTAAATGGACACGCTATATGTAATTGAATTGAAGCCCCTATCTAACTCTTGTTCGCTTATTAACTAATAGCTGCTGTAGCAATATACCCATGTGCAGTTGTGCAATTTGTAGTGAACAGTCCCTTTGCTGCTGTATCAGCTTGGGCACTGGTCCTGTTGTGTGATTTTCTTTAGTTAAATAAAGCTCCAGTAACCAATGGCTTCATTTCTTTGCACCGTTTACAGTATTTTGTATGTTGACCACTGCGTGTGCATGGACTACTGCTTTGAAGTTTAAATTAAGGACCATGGGAAATAAATTTCAAACAAAGCAAACTTTTTTCCATTGTTTTTAACGTTTAATCAACTACACAAACCTATTTACAGGGACTTCAAAATAAAACCCCATTGGGTATAAAGTCAACAACAAAAAATCGTATAAAACTGTAAAGCCAAACATGCCCCCATCCACAGCCAAAATGTCAAGTGTTGGTTTGCTGCAATATCTGGATACATCAGTTGGAAAAAAAAACTGTTTTACGTTTACAAGCAAAATCACAGGCGCAATTAAAACAGCTGGAGTCGACAATTCTTCGTGCACGCACACTTTCACACCTTTTTCATTTAATCTTTAAAACGCTTTATGTAGCCACTGGCAGACCAATGTTATTCGTATTGAAGGCAAGTTAAAGGACATTTGTTTAAAAGGGCTCAGTTTCCACTTGAAGTGGGAAAAAAGCCAAACAAAACCATCGTTGCAGCAAGCCATGCAGGAAACAATGGAGACGCATCACCTTTAAGCAAATAAACCATCAATATATTCAGTTATGTTATGGTTTTCTAATCAACTGACCTTTACAACCCAAGAAACAATCCTGGCCTTCCTTTACAATACCAACTTGAGTGGATACAGCAAAACATTGCAAACCAAAAAAGTGTATATTACACAATGAAGTTACACTTAAATGTTCCAATAGACACTTGGCAGTAGACAGTGGGGTTTTTCTTACAACTTGCAATGAAGCCAGATGCTTAAAATGACGTTCAGTCCATGGTGAAGCTGCTGGTGACAGCGTGCTTTTTTTTATACATGCGACTTCTCGTCAAGTATGCACAAGTTTATATGCAGGAGGTCGTGGGTTCGATCGACCCTGAAGATGCCTGTATATTTGTAGTTTGCATGTTCTCCCCATGGTCGCATGGTTTTTCTCCGGGTCCTCCGGTTTTGCCCTCCACGTTTAGAAACATGCGTTTAGATTATTGGCTACTATAAATTCCCACATGATACAAGCCACTTGATGAGCTATCACATGTGGCCAGGTCACCTGAAAAATGGCTAATCGCTCAGTGGGCTTTGCCTGGTAAAATAAAATAGTATATAATATAAACAGCACAATTTACATATAAGGGAGCAGTGCCGGTTCGGTTCCTTTCACCGCGAGGCGCATGACCAGGGATGTTGAAGCCACAGGGAGTTCAAATAAACTGCAGCGTCTGCTTGCTGCAGAACCATAGCGCCAGCAGATGGTGGTGGGCGGGGGGATGCCCAGCCACAAACACCTCGCCTAGGCCAGGTAACTGTAGGTGTCCTTTTCTCCATCTACCCTCTCCAGGTACTCCTTCTCTATGAGCATGTCGATGCATTTCTGCGGGAGAAACATTGAGCAAGGCATTAGTCGGCATGCGGAATGCATACGTTTCAGTGGGACCAAAGTAAGTGGAAAATTATAGCAAAGGTGTGTGCCTCAAACAAGCATCATTAAACTAAAGGAACTCGTTAATTGCACCTTGATGACGGGCACACGTGGCTTGAAACGGGAAGACAGCTGGTTGAGCACCTCAGCCAGCAGCTGTTGGTGTTTGAGCACCTTCCGCATCTTCATGATGCGCACAATCGCAGCCTGTGGACATGGAATAACGGATGAGAACAATCCAGGTGTTAAAGGTTAAATAAGCTGACAATAAAACCTTGCACATCTGAGACTGAAATGTATTGCTGCTGGGCAGTAAAGGGTATGCACACACCACAATACACAATAAAAAAGTTTACCCAACTTAAAAAGCTTAAAAAAAGTTGAAACATAAAAGTGTAGGCTAATAATGCTCTGAAGACGTGCCAAATTGCTCACTGTACTTTTTATATTGCAGAATTAACTAATACATGCCCATGTACAGATTGTCTTGAAAATGGGATTTTCACTCAAACGGCAATGCAAATAGCAATTACTGTGCTGCATTCGAGCAATCCACACAATGCCACCCAAGCAGGCTCGCTGACCTGGATGACGAGCTTGCGGTCCTCCTCTATGTTTTTGTGTGTTGTCTCCTGTTCTTGCTTCTGTTCTGCTTTCATCGGCACGTTGATGTTCACCCTCAGCTTCTTGCTGCCAGTCAAACGCACGAGCGAGTCACACACCCGTCACTTCTACTACATGTCACATTACCACATGGACTGAACTCGCCAGCCGAGTTCCTCCCAATGCCCAATGGAGCATGTAGACCCATGTTAGTGTGTCCATCAGATTATATTCACCCGTAAGTATGCGTATAAAAATGTGGAAAATGGCCATTTTAAAGAAACGAACTTTTGGCGTTTAGCATAGCGAGACGCCATTTGCATTTAAACGCTAAAAATATATACAAAAACATTGCATTCGACAATGCAGTGACAATGAGAAAATATTTCAAAATCATTTAAAAGCCATGATTACTTTTTGTAGCCCAAAAACAGTCTGATGAGAGTCTCTGGCTGCAGGTCCACCTCATCCACATTTGTGTTTTCATCTTCCAACACCTGCATTCACAACATTAAAGGGTAACCTTTAGCAAAGCCTTCATTCAAAAGCAAATGGTTGCTCCTGTGCGGATTGTGAGAGACTTGGTATTTAAATGTCACGCACCAAAAGCTTAGACTTGAGCAGGATCTGCAACACTTGCACCAAAATGTCCTGGAATTAGATGAATCAAGACATGATCAAAGAAGAGAAAGATTTGGAAAAAATACAAACAAAAGCATACAATTTACAAATCTAAAAGAGGGTAGTCACAAACTTGGGTCCAGCACAGCTTAACCATTGCTACAGTCTACATTACAGACTGCCAGTACACTCACCAAACTTAATAACCAGGCTCCAGTCTACATTAGTGTTTTGGTTTTTTTAATTACTTTTATTCACTTTATTTTTTAATCTACGTGACTTACCGAAAGAACCAAAGAATAACAATTTGGGTCCAGCGGTAAAAGTTAAATCATTATAAGCTAAATAGTTCTCCATTGACATCGTTCCACCTCTGGAGGCGGACGACAGCTACAAGCTAATAATCACATTTTGGCAAGACGAATTAAAATCTCTGCGAAAAGAATGCGAAGATGACCATATTAGGTTGGGGGAGCCCTTTTTGCTCACATTCACTTGAGCACCTACCATTTTGATCTGCGTGTTCTCATGCAGCTGCTGTACGGTGTAGGCATCCTCAGAGTTGTACTGCAGCAAAACCGCCATCTGAAACGTTGACGCCTGTTGGGGCAGCAACCGCATTGACTCAGCACGATGCAGCCAAGGGCAATGCAAGTGAGCAGTCCCTTCTGCATGGTTGTTTCCCGGCAAAATTGAAATTGCACACTTTCATGTGACGTAGACAATCTATTCAAAACAGGAGGCTTTGCAGGTGTTTACTTTGAACGTGTAACTTCATTATGAAATGCATTCTTAATTTCCATGAAGATTTTCGTTTGTACACTACGTTCTCAGGCAGTACTGGATTACGTGACAAAAGTCCGTTTATACGAATGTTGGTTCCGAGTTTAAAAACTGCGCGAAAAATGTAAAAAGAACACAAGGTGAAGAGTTAAACTTAGAAGGAAATGTTCCCCAATTCATCAGCAACATATACGCATAACATAGGCAACTGATAGCGGGGGATTCCTGTACAGTGAGGTGCCTGAAGTGAAATTTTTTAACCAAGCGGAATTTGAATTGGTGCAACAGTTTTAGCTTTTAAGGATATGAAATTATCTTCACATAGCAGTCTTGGCTCTGCATGTTGTCTAGAATATATGCAACAACCGTAGCTGTTCCAATTGTAAATGTGAAGCATGCGGACCTGCAATGTGTAGCGGTTCTTGAAGCAGTTGGTGACCAGCTCCCCTTTGGACAGCTGATAGAGCCAGCTGAGTTTGCGGCCACTGTGCTGGCTTGAGTAGAACGTGGTGAAACGTTGGTGGCTCCTCTCAAGCTGGGGGCACAACGAGTAGGATTTGCAATGCTATGTTTCGGAAATACAATGCACAGCGCTGATTGTATTTCACTGTCAGCAAAGCTGAAGCACTTTTGCAAGCAAAACCAAAGAAACTGCTTGAAAAAGGCCTTAACGACTCTGTAAATTCATCAGAGACATTACCATAACATGTTCAACCTGTGTGGCTGTACCTCAGATGGTAGAGCGAAGGTGCAGGACTGTTGGAAAGGCCAGGAGCCAGAGCTCAATACTTGGATGCTGAAGTCCACTACAAAGTGACAAATGTTATAATTAGCTCACAATGGATCCCCATTGCAATTCGGATCAAAAAACAATTATATAGCACACAAATTCCACAATTTCTGTTTTATACATACGTGTGCTGTACAATGAATCTTAGTTGCTTACAGTCTAGTGGCTCAGAGTTGGCCAGGTGGTTCTTGAACTGCTCGTTGAGGTCTTTGCTGACCCCAATGTCCTGGAACATGCGCTGCAGCTTGGACGTGTACTCGAACCCACAAGCTTGCTGTGTGAGGTAACAATGGGCGATGCTCCTTTAGCGTTATGAGCATGTACAGTTGGAAGAATAACCATCTCTGTAAATGGTGACGCAACCATTTCTGGTTGACAAATGCACTGGGCCGCACTTGCACAACAACAAATCAGGCATCGTCCACATACGTAACCAATCGAGTTCAGAGCCATCTGTACTGTTGGTGGTCAAGAAATGAACAACGAGTGACACTTGCCTTAAGCTTGGAGATCATACTGGCTTCTGCGTCGTCACTGGCACTATTGTGGTTGACGAGTCGCTTGGCCAGCATCTTGGCGTAGAACCTCTGGAAAACGTCCTTGTCCTCAATGTACTTGAACACCACCATCTGCACCCATCAACACAGGGCTGCATTAACTCTTAACCAAAATACACACCACCGCTATGGAAATTCAAACTTCAGATCTCCCATTTTACAGTCGTGCAAGTGTCTCTGCAAAGCTACACACAATTGGGACTACAATTACAGCATTTCCAATATTATTAGGTGTGATATTTTAGCATACGGATGCAAGTAGAAAGATAAGTGCAAAGCAATGAACTTGGGAAAAAAAAACGAAAATGCTCAAATCCAACAGTAACTCACCACTTGGTTAAGTGTGTCTTCTAGCTCTGCTTCCTCAGGATTTTTTGAACTAAAAAAAACAAATTAATTTGTATTTATACAAGGTCCTTACAGTTCTCAAACTTCAGTAGAGAAACACTATATATAAAAAACACAAAACACTTGATAGTACTCCACCCACCTCTTCTTCAGCAGGGAGTCACAGTAGCGTGCCAAGAGCTCCGGGGATTTGCTTGACGTCTGGGCCATTTTAGTGACTGCATTGGTGTTGATAAAGCGCCCACATGCCTGGCACACCAGGGGGGAAAGTAAATGCAGTGCAGCACTCCAATGCATAAAGTAGTTGGTACACCTTGGGTAATGTTAACATGTGGATTGCTTGCAATAACAAATTAGTAAAATGCAGTATTTTTAAGTACCAAACAATATAACCCAAGTGTGCTACTTGGTTATAAAATATAAATCCTTAAGATGTACCTTGTCCAGTGATGCTACAAATCCCGCATCATTGTTGAATGCAGACATGACCAGCGCGTTGTATTTTTTGTGGACATCCAGAATCGTCTGAACGTAGATCTTTGGGTCCTGGCAGAGTGCACATTCAGAAAAATTAAACTCCTACAATAATGGAAAACTTAAGCTTTCATGGACAAGATTCATAAGAGCTTTATTTCCTACAACTATGCATGTAAACATTGAATTGTAAAAAAGCTACAACTGTTTATTTAAAAATCAAACAAGAAGTGTTTTCTTTTTTACAAATACAAATGTTAAAACATGACAGTTAAGTAAAATTTTGTACAATAATTTTAAAAACTACAAGAGCTTAACAATGAAAGAAAAAGTGTAAGTGTTCAAGAGCAAGTTTGAGAGGAAAGAGTACATGGTATGAAAGAGGGTGAAACATGACAATGACAAGGAGAAATTGCCTTGCTAAGTTTTTTCAGAAGGGGGCGATGATTGCCATAATCCCAATGAAGCAATTTTAAACTGGAAGAATTGACCGTGACGACACTGGCACACTGGTTAATTATTTTTTATTATCCAGGGCTAAGCAGACACCGCATATTTTAACGGTGAATTCACCTGCAGTAAAACCAGGGTGGCCACTTGATTAAAACCGTTAACCTCTGCAACAAGCGGAGAACGCGCTACCACCCCATATATTGAGTTTGGCTACACTGGTGATGGGACATATTGGCACGTTTTCAACATAAAATAACACAAAGTAACAAAGGCCAACACATGTGAAACTGGTCCATAATCTCAGACGCTTAAGGCACGCATATACGGGTTATCACCACGGCATTATGCGAGTGTTAAGCTCAGTCGTACATTGAGTGCGCCCTCTCCACACTTCTCGATGGCGGAGAGGCCCTGGTTGTGGATGTGCGTCTCAAGGAGGCTCTTCAGCTCGCCGAGGCCATCCAGGATGCGTGACACCAGGCTGTACATGCGCGCCAGGTCTGGGACAACCAACATGACACCGGTGTGTTACCTCCACCGCCTAAAATTACAGCGGCAAAAATGCCTCCGCTTCCAGCATTTACAGTTGGTTTGTAACCAGTTCTGTTTGCAGGCATATATTATGGTTGCATGATACACAAGGTGTGTTGGGACCAAAAACAAGGCTGGTCATCATCAGTTCTAAAGTTAATATTATGAAAAATTATCCAGATATGAATAAACATGGGATGCACACAAGCACTGCAATGTCACTTGACTTGGCACCACTGAATGAAACCAAGATTGTAACCCAATGTGGTGAATGCCAAATAAGGCATTTATACAGGCAACAGCCCATGTCCATATTACAGGTTCCAGAAAACCACACCTATCACACACCGATCACAGAAAGACAACACAACAGCTATGCAATGAATCCCAAAAGTTAAGAGCCAAGTACATAACAAAAACTAAACCAACCTGTTTGATGCACCTACAATGGCATGCATTTTTAGACACTCACCTTCACAATATCTTGAATTCCTGTCTTGAAACATTCCACAAGATAGTGCTAAAAAATATTTCCCGTGTTTCAATACCTCAAAGTGTGTTTTTCACCCTTGATACCAATTACTCAACCACACCATTGTGACCTCTACTCCCAAGTCTGTTTTTTGGCCTCTCAAGATAGGCGAAAAATGCAGTGAGACATTTGTCTTCAATGTATTTACACATTAAAGTCTCATATCCAAATCCTCAACGCTAAACACGACACCGCATTTCAAGGCATCGTACCAAGTGCAACAAAATAGGCTTGGTCTGGCATCGGCCTCAGTTGACACCCACCTTTTCTGCCATCAACTGGCCTCCCGATTGCCTCTAAATTCAATCTCGACTCGAGCGTAGTGAAAAAAAAAACAATAGGCTGCAAGTAAACTTTTTGTAAAAGGTCAGATTGACTGCGTTTTGTTTCCCAATTGGCGAAGTCATTGTTAACCTTTTAAAAATCATATTGTGCATATTTCTCAATTACCTCGTTGCCAATGTAATCACTTTACTTTCTTCAAGTTATTATATTTTTATACATTTATAATTTAAGTGCAATATACATTTTTACTTGGCCTTATTAACAAGCACTGTATTCATTGTTACATTTAAATGTTAGTGTTCATACATTGTTCTTGATGTAACCTGACAGTCATATAGTTACTCTTTGGTTCTTTTGGCAAAGTCACATAGAAAGAGAATAAATTAAATAAAAAATGTATACGTCACTTTACTGAAAGAACTAAAGAGTAATTTCTGCAGTTACGAAAGCTTCAAATCAAGTCCTATAGTTATTTTTATGTTAGTGTTTTGAACTTAAGTTTGAAAATCGTTTATTTATACAAGACAACTGCTAATGCTTTTAAATTGGATCAATCAATTCACAGCAAAAACCAATATAACCCAATGATTTCATCATCAATTGCTGTAGCACCACCACCAATCTTCATATGTTATTACAAAAGCCTAATTAGCCAAGTGTACTAAAAGCAAGAGCACGCACCCTCGTTCTTGTCATCATCGAGCAGATTCTGGAACTCCGAGTAGAAGTTCTCCAAATGCTTCTCGATGAGCACCTGCTCGCACTTGCGAGCCAGCTCGTCATGCGTGCTCTCGTGCAGATACACCTGCACGCGCCGCTGCTCCTCCAGCAGGCGTGTCTCAGCCTACAAGTGTGTGGGTGGACAATCAGGCGTCAACAGCAAGGCACGTGTGCAACATAAGCAAGCTCGACAAGATGCGTATTTTTAAAAAAACACCCGGGGGTTATTGTTTCCATCCTGCATGCATGGTCAGTTTCAAACTCTGATTGAATAGAAATTGTAACTTTTTTTTACGCATAGGCAGTGCAAAACTGTCCCCCACACTGTGATGACGAAGGGTTCCATTCACACAAAGCCCGGAGCCACAAAGCAACCGTAAGCAACAATGGTTTAACTGTACTGATGAATCATAACAAGGATGAAACTGGAATAGTAGATTGATTGTCCTGCTGCTGCCAAATATATCGTATAAAAACAAGGCTGTGTGGCAGTCACGTGATGTGCTAGCCATGACGTGAGGATCAATCCAATGGTCACAATTACCTGTATGATTTCCCTTAATCAGGGAATGTGTCGTGTGGGGTATGACCAATTATGCGTGCGTGAGATGTTGATGGAAATACAATGCCGAGTATATGGACATTAAACATGTATAAAACACATCTGAAAGGCTAATGCATACTTAGGATAGCATGTGACATTTTATAAACAGTAATTCTGGTGTTTAATTTCAATAAGGGAGCACTTTTCCAGGAATGTTTGATAGTTATTTCAGAGTATTTTTCAATTTGTAAATTAACAAACTAATGCTCTTGCTGGGCAGACGCGGAACCTCACCTTCTTCATGTACTCAGTGACAGGGTTCTGTGAAAGGAAGTCTGTGCTCTCGCGCGTATAAAAGCGCTCAGTGTCCAGCAGGAACTGTGATTCAAAGGCCTCCTTGTAGACGGACAACGTGGGTCCCTTGGCATGCAGGTCATCCTCATTCAGACCAAGCTCAACTGCAGTCACACACATTAAGGATGTACATAACATGCATAATCAGTTCCAAGTGCATGAATCTTTCCTATAAAAGTAATTTTGTGCGTCTGCGCGTGTCTGCCATATTTTCTGTTCGTCTGCTACAGCAGAGGTGTAGGGAATTCCAACAAGACCTACATCTCTGCTTTATTGACCTGGTCAAGGCCTATGATACCATCAGTAGGCCTGGGCTCTGGGTTGTTCTTCGTGCTTTCGGAGACCCTGACCCTCTGCTCACGATCATTACGGACCTTCATGATAGTGAGTGGGCCCAGGTAAAACTACGTGGCCGAGAGTCGGAGCCATTCCCTGTACACCTTGGGGTGCAACAGGAATGTCCTCTGGCTCCCACATTATTTAACATCTATTTCGAACACGTAGTTCGTGAAGCCTTCAATAACTGTACCGGGGGAATTTCCATCTGGTACAGATACAATGGAAGGCTGATCGATGCCCGGGTGCGATCAAGGGATGGCTCCCTATTGCTCAACCATGGTATGTATGCCGATGATCTGAAAATTGCTGCTCAGAGGAGGAATTGGAGGCGCTGCTGCTGGACCTGGAGCTTGCCACTAAGAGGTGGGGCCTTACCATCAGCCCCACCAAAACTAAGCACCTGCCTGGGTATTTTGTGCAATGGGACACTCAACCCCCACAACTCCCAACTGGTGAAAGGACAGTTGTGGAGAGAGTGGAAAGTTTCCCATACAGCGAGGGAAAAAAGTATTTGATCCCCTGCTGATTTTGTACGTTTGCCCACTGACAAAGAAATGATCAGTCTATAATTTTAATGGTAGGTTTATTTGAACAGTGAGAGACAATAAGAACAAAATCCAGAAAAACGCATGTCAAAAATGTTATAAATTGATATGCATTTTAATGAGGGAAATAAGTATTTGACCCCCTCACAATCAGAAAGATTTTTGACTCCCAGGTGTCTTTTATACAAGTAACAAGCTGAGATTAGGATCACTCTTAAAGGGACTGCTCCTAATCTCAGCTTGTTACCTGTATAAAAGACACCTGTCCACAGAAGAAATCAATCAGATTCCAAATGCCACTATGGCCAAGACCAAAGAGCTCTCCAAGGATGTCAGGGACAAGATTGTAGACCTACACAAGGCTGGAATGGGCTACAAGACCATTGCCAAACAGCTTGGTGAGAAGGTGACAACAGTTGGTGCGATTATTCGCAAATGGAAGAAACACAAAAGAACTGTCAATCTCCCGCGGCCTGGGGCTCCATGCAAAATTTCACCCCGTGGAGTTGCAATGATCATGAGAACGGTGAGGAATCAGCCCAGAATGATCTCAATGATCTCAAGGCAGCTGGGACCAGTCACCAAGAAAACAATTGGTAACACACTATGCCATGAAGGACTGAAACCCTGCAGCGCCCGCAAGGTCCCCTTGCTCAAGAAAGCACATATACATGCCCGTCTGAAGTTTGCCAATGAACATCTGAATGATTCAGAGGACAACTGGGTGAAAGTGGTGGTCAGATAAGACCAAAATGGAGCTGTTTGGCATCAATTCAACTCGCCGTGTTTGGAGGAGGAATGCTGCCTATGACCCCAAGAACACCATCCCCACCGTCAAACATGGAGGTGGAAACATTATGCTTTGGGGGTGTTTTTCTGCTAAGGGGACAGGACAACTTCACCGCATCAAAGGGACGATGGACGGGGCCATGTACCGTCAAATTTTGGGTGAGAACCTCCTTCCCTTAGCCAGGGCATTAAAAATGGGTTGTGGATGGGTATTCCAGCATGACAATGATCCAAAACACACGGCCAAGGCAACAAAGGAGTGGCTCAAGAAGAAGCACATTAAGGTCCTGGAGTGGCCTAGCCAGTCTCCAGACCTTAATCCCATAAAAATCTGTGGAGGGAACTGAAGGTTCGAGTTGCCAAACGTCAGCCTCAAAACCTTAATGACTTGGAGAAGATCTGCAAAGAGGAGTGGGACAAAACCCCTCTTGAGATGTGTGCAAACCTGGTGGCCAACTACAAGAAACGTCTGACCTCTGATTGCCAACAAGGGTTTTGCCACCAAGTACTAAGTCATGTTTTGCAGAGGGGTCAAATACTTATTTCCCTCATTAAAATGCAAATCAATTTATAACATTTTCGACATGCGTTTTTCTGGATTTTTGTGTTATTCTGTCTCTCACTGTTCAAATAAACCTACCATTAAAATCATAGACTGATCATTTCTTTGTCAGTGGGCAAAAGTACAAAATCAGCAGGGGATCAAATACTTTTTTCCCTCACTGTACCTGGGCAGTGTGCTCATGACCGGCTCCGGTTTAACAGCAGAGGTCTCACTCCGAATCAGTCGATCGGCCTTATCTTTTCATCGGTTGCGTAACGCTGTGTGGAAGCTACCTGGTCTGTCGCTCCGCACAAAGCTTCAGGTCTTCTCGGCCACGGTCATTCCCTCCCTTCTCTACGCTTGCGAAATGTGGACCCCCCTAATGGAACATCTTCGCCGGTTAGAAACATTTAGGCTGGCCTGCCTACGACCCATCCTGGGTTTAACCAGGCTGGATTGTGCGAGGAGCTCACAAATCCTTGAAAGATCTGGATAAAGTCCCATCGGTGAGCTCCTTCGGCAGGCAAGGCTGCATTGGCTGGGCGATGTAGCCTGCATGCCCAGCCACCACATGCCTAAACAGCTTTTGTTCGGCCGGATCGAGGGGGCAAAATGGGCACGGCACGGGCTAGAGAAGAGATGGAGTGATGTGGTACAGGAGGATGTGGAGCTGAGTAGACTTGTCAATCACTGTACCAGCGGTGTCAAGATCGGCCTCTGTGGAGGAGGCTCGTGAAGGACGCTACTGGGCAGTTGGAGGCAGTCACCCACCAACAACAACGGAGGGCGGAGGAGCGACGCTCACAACGAGTGGAGCGCTGGGTGGCTAAAGCACAGCAAGTTGGCACAATAGGGGGCATAGGTAGTGCATCAGCCAGTCGTCTCAGTCAGTCGACCTGTGGCATCTGGGTCTGCCCCGTGACCTCTTGCCAGCGGGCGTTCGATACTTCACGTGGCCTCAAAGTGCACATAACCTGGCACAAGCATTGTGGTGATGTCACCGCCACTTAGTGGCGAATGGCAGTTGTTGTTGTTGTCTGCGCGGGTACCTTGTGACGTTTATAAAGTACACAGATACCACGCTGTATGCCCTGTGACGAAAAAGCGCTATTCCTATTTCACATGTCAACTTTCAAGTATTTAAATTAACAATGTATTCCCTTTTATAAGCACAGGGTGGCATCACAGCACGCATCTGCACATGCGCGAAAGCCGGCTCCGTGGTGGTTGCCCTAGCAACGCACACGCAATCGGTGGGGGGAATTCGCGTTAAAAATAAAAAAACAAGAGGTAAATTCTTCACAGTGTGATGTCCTCTTCTCCCAAATGTGTGCACTTACTACTATAGGGTCGGTAGATACTACTATTATAGTCCTTAGATTATATTATTGTAGAGCAAGCGGGGTAGCAGCCCAGCCCCAGCCTGCAAAGGTGCCACCTCGGCTGGCTGGGCAATCTAGGCGAGGCCAGGGGCTCTGCACGGGACTAGGCCTCACCATGACACTGTGCAGTTAGTACTATTGTAGCGAGTTCAACTGAGCCGCAGACGTACTCTTGGAGGCACCACATGTATTTAACGCCAACACACAGGGTAACTGCCCCTTAACAGAATAACAACCTATGGTGGTGACCACCAGACTAACTACACCAATTACAACGTAACTAGCTACAACGGACCGGACCACAGCTCGAGGCCATGGCCAAGGGTTGGAGACTTGGTAGAACGTAGGACGCAGACGAAGGCTTCTTCAAAATGAACAACAACGCCGGTCACTCTGGGGGTCCCGGCTTATATTCTCTGCGGCGTGGCTGGCTCCACCCCTTGGCTTCGACCACCTTCCAGAATCAGAGCAGGATCTGGACCCGGACCACATGACCACCCCCAGCCCCCACTTGGGGCCCCTTTGTAGACTTAACCGGTCACGTGTCTTCTCGGGTCAACCAGAGTGCCATGGCCTTTAGTAACCCCGGCACACCCACACCCTATCCTGTGGGGTTGCAACTGCACGCCAAGTGTGGTGCCACCTAGCGCTATCAACCAGCGCTCACAGACCCCCTCTAGGGCCGGTACTACACCCACATCATCGTGGTATCCGTGATGTTGTTAAATCGCAGGCCGTGCCTCTCTAGGGCCGGTACAGCACAGTGACATCCCGCAATGTCACTACACTATTATAGAGTCGATATATACTATTATAGAGTCGCTATATGACTATAGAGTAGGTAGTTACTGCTACTGTAGAGCAGGTAGTGGGGGGGGGGGGTGAGTGTAGCAGCCCAGCCCCAGCCTGCTAAGGTGTCACCTCGGCTGGCTGGGCAATCTAGGCGAGGCCGGGGGCTATGCACGGGACTAGGCCTCATGACGGCACTCTGTTAAGTTAGTGCTATCGAGTCGATATATACTGCTATAGTCAGCATGTACTACTGTAGTGATAGCAGATAACGCTACAGTCAGCATGTACAACTGTAGTGATAGCAGATACCATATTCTTTGGATCTTTCGGTAAAGCCACGTAGATAGAAAATAATAAAGTTATTATAAAATAATTATAAAAAAATAGAAAAATCAAAAACTCACGACGTTTCGATCGCAACACAAGAACTACAGAGTCAATAGATACTGACTCTATTGTATGTAGGGTGTGTATGTATATATTCCTACACGGGGGTAAACATATTTTTTGAGGGGGGGGGGTCAACAATTTTCAGAAACCTTTTAGATCAACTATTTACCCCAGACTTTTTATAACTTTTTGGACTTCTGCAAGCCTCTTATCATTTTGTTGACGGACAAATAGCATTCCGGGCTTTCACAATAGCTGCGTATGTGTGCATATATGTTATGTTTTTAAGACAAGATTTGAAATATATTTTTCCCCTGGGCAACGCCGGGTACTTCCCGCTACTATAATATAAATGGAGTGCTCTACATCATATATATAAATCGGACACTTACCATAAGACCCAACAACACCACTGATGAGCCTGGTGTTGATGGTCTCTCCAGTTCGTTCCTTCTCAATCAGCTTCAATACTGCATTGGTGACCTGTATAATCAACACAATGTACTCAAGTATACATACGTGCCCAAATCATTTTGTAGTAATTTTCAATTCAAGTTATAACACACAAGAGTCATAACAGCTGACAAGTTCACGATCCTAAACGCACCTGTTTGTTGAGAGGTTTGAAGAGGCACTCCCTCCACGTCACCAGTGCAAGCTGACAACGATAACATGGAATCAAACCGATGGCTCAAAACAAAGAGTAAAATACAGTGAGCCTACTGCCACACAAAGCTGTGCTGTAATCTTTTAGCAAGACAAAAAAAAGCATTCACTGACATTGATACATTTGAGCAGTCTCCCAAGTATACCAAAAGCGTATTTTTTGACAAATTCAATGTAAACAATGCGTCGTGTTTAATGTCATGAAGCATACAACCGAATTTGGGCAATGCTGCATAATTTAGATTTCTTGGAATGTCAGTAAGCTCGTTGTAGTCGCAGCTAGATACATCGATTATAGGCTACAAAATGATATAGACTACCAAGTAACCTGGCGAAAACAAATTTAGAGTGGCACAGCTGGCTGGTGCCTTACCGAGTAGATCTCGTAGATACCCTTCCGGCCCTCATCGCACTCTCGCCGCACCCAGTGGCGGTTGAGGTAAGAGCAGATGCCATTGAGCACCTTGCTGGAGAAGCGGTAGTCCTCCCACTGCTGAGTGTAAAATTTCAGCACACCCTCGTCCATCAAGTCCTCACCATCCTGTGGAAATCAATATTATGAAGCATAATGCATCAGCGCCCAGATTTAATTTTGCAGTGCCTAGACAGCAGGCGTGGTTAGTAACATGTTGTGACTGACAACTGTGCATTTATGTGAAAGTCTGGGTCTGAACAAAGCAGCAGCTATGGAAATAAATTATGGTTTAACCCACTGCAAGGATTTTTAATATGCTTCCCTGACAGAGCCATGCATGTAAACATAATACAATTACTACACAACTGCTCTGGAGAAAACTAGACACTTATACCACATGACAATATATGCATTTTATTCTTATTAAGGGTGCTTTTGTGCCAAGTTTGTTGTCCTTCCTCCACACCTCCGATTGGCATGGTTGGCTACGTACAGTGCAAAATAAGTTCAACATACATGTGTACTTTCTAATGATTGTGCTCTCAAAGTTCACATGGCAGGTGTAATAAACAACCAATCGTGTGCCCCACAGCAGGCACCTTCAAGAGGTTAAGGAGGTACATCTTGAGGAAATCCTTGAGACGCTTGTAGAGCTCCAAGCCCACAAACTGCGCACCACCCGATGGCTGACCCTTCTTGTTCTTGCTGGTGTTGGCCATCGCCCCCGAGCGCGCCTGATTGGCCTGGTGCACACTCGTGCAGTAGTTGTAAACATGTCTTTCATGCATGCTAAGGAAGTGGCTGTACACAGGTACAAGTTTATTTTTTCAATTACTGTATATAGATTAATCATAAAGCAACCTTCCAGTACATATCACAAGTTATCATCTATTTTATAAAATAGCTTTTAAACTAAATGTAACTTGAGTAAAAGCTAGTTCTTATTGTAACTAGGATGTGCTACGAAAGGTTAGATTGATTTTTTTAAATCTGAAACATTGCTGTTCCTTTAAAAAAATGAAAACATGCCACACTGCCTCTGATGGTTAGAAAATCTGATGTCCATCAAAAACCACCCAAAACTATTTCTCCACATTTGATGTAATTTATACCACTCAAAAACATGCCAATTTCAGATAGGCCATACATTTGGACAGGTGACTCCAATCTCTCCAAGTTGTGGTTCGAGTAATGGGACAAACTGTGTTAAACAAATATTTTACTTCTGATTGTACTACCTGTTACCTCTAAAAGACATGCCATAGTTTTGGGCATCCAAAATAGACCCAATGCATGCCCTTACGCAAACAAGTTGCAATATTTGTTATGCTTAGAGCCGGGGTTCGGCCAAACAAAATAACACGTCGAGTTTTTTAAAATAAAAAAACCTCAATATTTCAAGAGCCGCAATGCAATGTGAATACTAGACGGTTCTTAATAAATAATTTCATGAAGAAACCCTTAACAAGCCACATGCAGTTAGAGCCGTAAGTTGCTGACAATTCTTTGGGAAAGGTAAAATAAGAGCAATAATCTCTTCATTCCCTCAGCAACACGGACGTAGAAAAGGATACGTGTAGAGCTCCATGTAGCGTGATTTGGCCATGCTCTGTCGTGTGTACACCTGCTGGATGCCCGCCTTCAGATCATCCCATATCTGATCGAGGCCGATTTGTTTGAGGCCATGCGGGTTTGGGGCTCTGCTCGCAGACATCTTCTTGACCTCACGGCGCACAGAGCGTCCTCCTCCAAAGCTGGGCGCCTGCCTCTCTCCACCACTCTTGACTATCCGGGTCTTGCCGCACCCGAAGGCTTAGGGTTGCATCCCAAGCAATGACTAGACTATCTAGGTTTAGTAGAAGCTTTCAGTCGCGCCTCACTTGAACGTTTTACTGTAAAACACAAAAACAGAACAATTGCAGTGATACAAATAAAGGCAGTGTTTTGTGTCTCAATTCCACATCAAATATGAACTACAATGGCTCAACAGGCACATTACGGGTACCAGAGAGCCCAGGTTCCTATTGCAGCTTAGCCCAGGCTAAATAATTCTAGACAAATCCCCTGGGCTCACTTTTTGACCGTCAATGCACATTTCACCAATTTGACTCAGAAACAAGTCATGATATCACAGGCTCAATGTGGTAGGGATCTATGATCTCTAGGACACTTACTTTGTTCATTTTACTGTTTTAGTGTTCAGTGTAAAATTATAAAAAAGATACATTAATTTTAGCTTAAATTAGTACAGCAAAACCACCGATTTGGTTACACTTTAAGTGACTTTTTGAAAGATCACTTTACCATAACCCTGCTACAGAGGGTAAGGCTCAGGGTGAGACTTGGTTGGAGTGGAAGGCAGGAAGATGTGCACGCTCATGGGAGTCATGGTTCGTGAAGTTGGGGACTAATGTATTGAGCCTTGGGTGCTGCATTATGTCCAGAACTAAGGCTAGCAGAAGCTGGTTATCAAGTCATGAAAACAAATGAGGGCTTATATTAATTACCCCACAAAAAACTATTTTATTTAAAACTAAACTATATATATTTTTTATTGTACCAGGTAAGGTCCATCAAGTCCTTTTTCAGGAGCAACCTGGCCACAAATGATAGCTCAACGAAGTGGCTTATCATATGCAAATTGATAGCAGCCAAATACTCTAAACGCATGTTTATAAATTCTAGATTTGAAGCTTTCGTGACTGCAAGGATTCACTCTTTGTTTTTTTCGGCAAAGTCACGTAGGTAAAATAAAATAAATGAAAACAACTAAATTAAATCACGACGTTTCGGAGGCAAGACAAGCTTCCGTCTTCAGGTGGAACAGTCACAGCAAAATAGCTGTATCAAGCTATATCAAGCTATTTTGCTGTGACCGTTCCACCTGAAGACAGAAGCTTGTGTTGCCTCCGAAACGTCGTGATTCAATTTAGTTGTTTTCATTTATTTTATTTTACCTAGGTGACTTTACCGAAAAAAACAAAGAGTATGTTTATGAATGTTGAGGGGGAAAACCAGAGAACCCGGAAAAAAAATCCACACGACCACAGGGACAACTTGCAAACTCCAAATATACAGGCGTCAGGGTCAATATGGAACACAAGACCTCCTCCATATCAGACGAGGTAGTCAAAATCTAGCCAGTGCTTGCCCCAATCCCACACCGGACAAACAACATTTTAATATAATGCCAGTGATGCATCATGAAGGGCATGTTAAAGTACATTTTCGAATTGTGTTGATTTTCACTGGTGAAACAATGACCTGCTTACACTTGTGACAAGCATTACACTGCAAGATAAAGTCCACAAAAATTATCACAAGAACAAAATACCACCACAAGTGTGAAATGTGCTGTGCTGCCAAAAAAGCCCAAGCCCTATTGAGTGAGAGGCAAAGAGGGAGCTTGAGTGAAACTAACCTGCTGTTCCCAAGCAACGTGCGACGCTGTTTACATTTGTCGTCTGTCTCCAATGGGCAGGGTTAATAATAAATTGCAATGAGAAAAAACAGGGCCTTACCACGAAATTAACATACACAGGTGGTTTCATTATATGGATCGTAGTACTGTGAAGCTTTACAACAGTAAGACCATTAAAGGGAAAGTTCGATTCTGTATTAAAATCATAGCAACAATGAGAGGAATGTGAATACTGTACTTCCATAAATCAACAACAATTAAATACGTGGAAGGTTAATGCTAGAAAATTCACCATAATCAATATAGCTAAACAGAGTAAAAACATCCAAGAATACCACCATTTAGAAGAATAAATTGACAATGAACCATAAAAACGCGAAAACAAATTGTTGCTCTATCTCAAGAAAAAGACTTCAGTCTATTGGCTAGCCAGGTTTTCAGACAACCTAACTAATGCAAGCAAACTAACCAACATATGTCTAAACATGCAAACTCAGAACTGGTTTCACTCTGCAAGAGATAATCAGCAGTGTCTGTGTTTTAGTACTATGAATGCTCCCCAATATTGCTCAGTGAGGTTTTATAATACTACCCTTGGTTTATCCAGGAAAGCATCACCGAGCCTGAAAACTTGCAAAGGGGAAGTTTGGCCAATTTCACAAGTAGTTGGCTTGAGAGGAATTCAACAGTACTGAGAAAAGAAACGAGATATCACTCAAAACTGCACCGATGGATTCAATTCACTTTTTGTACTCTCTTCAGATCACTTTGCAGCTTAGCCGGTTTTTGAGTTTCATGTTTGTATGATCCACAAACCCTCATCTACAAGTATTGGATTACAGGTGTGTACTACCACATGAACAAGACGATACAAATGAAACGATAGTTGATTAATGATTCCAATTGCGACTGAATGACAATTGATCAAATCTCAGGTATGCTGACTAAAGGCCTACTATGCCAAACTAGACTGACATCTTCTCACAACAATGAAATGGCAACTGAACGCTTTTGGAGTCACTCCCATATTTTGACGTTCACAAACCATTGTGAAAACAATGCCACAGCGGCAACAATATCATAATGCAAAAATATATTGATAATACAACTACACAGCACATAAGTATCTTTAGCAATACCAATATGCACTGCATGGTACACACATCTCTTTAGAAATGCTGTTTAGTTTCTTCTCCTTCCCCCGCATACGATTAGCACGGTTGGCTACTTACGGTGCAAAAGAAGTTCAACATACATACACAGAATCAGTACACAGTCGACAAATTACAGGTGTATTTTACATATACACACACACACTAATACATTATGAAGTGGTCAATACCATGGATATAGTTGCACAACTGTAACAGCGATACAAATACAGCACATACGAGTAGACAAAAATATCCAGTAACAATAAAACTACACGTGTAGTTTACATGCAGACATACCAGTACCACTTATGATAATGGTACAGCCAATATATAGCCTTTATACACATGTCTTAATAACAATACCAAGAGTACAAAATAATGGCATTTCACACAAAGCTCACTAACAATACACATACTCTTCACCTACTGACTACACACAATAACAAATCAATATCAACTTGATATATCTTTATATAGTACTATAAACACAATACTGCTATAAAGGTAACTATCAGCGTTCGATTCCAAGCCACGGCTAACATCAGCGGTGAGTAATATTTGAACCGGTCCCAGGCACTCCCTTCACCAAGCTGCACTGACCAGCGTGAGGAGGTATGGTTAAATTCCAACACTGGCATGGGGGAAGCTATCATCCTGCAGTGGATTGACAAAGGGCTGAAAACTATTACTATATTTAAAACGCAGAGCCCAGTTTCCACACCTAAATATGTATTGTAATATTTTGGATATAAACTCACAATCAGGAAAGCACCAATGCATATTGACTGAGTACTACACACACCAAGACATCAGTACCAATGTACAGTATACACGATAACATACATTATAACACTCAGCAAGTGCCAATATCTGTGCATTTAAAGTATACATTAATTGAACTACGTTAAAAAGGAAGCGAGTTCAAAATGTTTGTTTCATACAGTATTTTAAAATCATGTTTTGGGATTTTTAGGTACGATTGAAAATTTGGCTTCAGCGTCCATCAAAATGTACAGATAAAAACTCTTGGATGCATACAAATAGGGCACACGATATGTTTGGGTTATAAATTAAAAGTGTGGTGTCATATACAAGCACTCAACAATTGAACATTATGGCGGGACCCCGGGGTCCAATAAGCCCCCGGCTCTCGCATTAACTGCGTTGCGACGTTATTTTATGTTTGTTGAAGGCGAACGATACGGCAATCTATTCCTCTCGACGAGCTCCACACAATGCGCTAATTAAAAGTTTTGTTTCTTCTGCGCATTCGTCACCGCTGCGCTTGGGCGACATGCCAACAGAATGGTCCCACGCCAGGTGCGTCGCGGCGTTTATGTGCGCGGTGGAACGGAGTCGCCAAAAATAAATAGTTACGATTTTGACTTCCGTTTATTCGGGACCCCGGGATCCCGCCAATAAGGTTAAATTTCAAATTTCCGGTCCTTAGCACATCCACAGAATGCACTTGTTGCTTACATTAGTACACTGTGTAAGCATTTCATACAGACACATACAAGCACTCACGCAATCTACGAAAAACACAAACAGCCCTGGGCAATTATATATGTAACCGTATAATAATGGAAGTGGCCCACACAAGCGGCTAGATGCTTGTTGCCTGGCCCAGAAGCGACGGAGAGCTTCTTAACGCAGCTTGTCGTGATCCAGCTCATGGACTTGATCCCATTGTCTGGAGCCCTTTCACAACCACTTCTAGCTTCAACAGCCTACAATCAAATGTGCTGTGGCACAGCAGTGGTTGGAGAAGTGCACCACGAACCCAGAAATCAAGAGTTAAACTTCGGACCACAAGTGAACATCAGCCAATATTAATATATGAACCCGTCATGCCCACACCTCCCCCCCCACCACCACCTTCGGCAAAACGCACGGATCTGTGGGGAAGTATGGTCCAACTTTCCCCATGACATTACATTTGAAGGCCTTAATCCAGCAGTGGATTACGGTCTGAATTTTGTTCAATAGATACCCCATAAATGTATAATACTGTAAACCTCTTCCTTTATTATTTTAGAAAAGACTGAATATTGTGAAAGCATAGCTCCAGATATAGGAGAGTTAAAAAAACAATGTAATACGCGTATTGAAATTGGCGAATCTGGATACACAAAGGCTATGAATTACAATCTGTCTCCCAATTTATCGAAATTATCTTAGGAAGTTGTCTATAAACGGATCTTATATTACTTTGTATATGTATTATGCAAGGGCCCATCGGGGAGCTCCTGATTGGCCAGTGATTGATCCGTTCATGCCATGTACACACCTGTGTACTGTACAGCGATATAAAAACCCACATTACAAAAGGGGTATAAACACTAGCACCAACGCAGCACTTATGAACACAGCTGTGCAGCACATATGTAACTCAAATCAGTACATTGGTCGTGTATAGTAGAACGCCCAACATTAACAAAAACATAACGCATATATTAATGTACGAAAAGACAGTACTCATATTAACGGTAAAAAAAAACACTCGTGATAACGAAGTAAAGTAACTGAAATCAGAACATCGAAAAATACAGCATTACAGTAAAAATATAGTATATTACAATAAAATATTTTATAGAGTGAAATGTAATAGTATTTCACATGCTGCACACACCCAACATCAGTTACGTTACATTTAACATTATAATCAACCATAATTCTACTGCGAAATGACGGTGTTCTTAGCCATCAATACTGCACAATACTATAACGATATACAACACCCTCTATCCATGACTAACACAACACACGCAGTTCAGTCAAGTCTAGTAATTATGTAACGAGTCCTATAAATAACAGTCAGGCACCAATACATTCACATTCCTGTAATCAAAAGTATCAAGCAAAAAAAATATATAGTACAGCAACAATATCATATAACACCTTCAGCTCAGCAGAGCTAAATATATAAAGACCAATAGGATCCAGAGAAATTCAGCATCAATAACAATAAATAATATAACATGAGCTTCATATAAAGCATAGTAATTATATAACTACGATAGCTAACACACACCAACGGATTTCACAGCTTCATCTCAGTGGGTGTTCTCTTGTACAAAACATCAATCTCATCCCTTGGCCCCCGCTCAGTCATAATTTACCATCGGCAATGACTTTCAGCGACGTGCCCTGTAACAGCTTAAATGCGATGATAAAAGTCCAATAATTATGAACTCCCATTATATAAAAAAACTCAGCTCGCTGCCTATACACAAATTCCGTAGTTAACATGTAGGTCAGCACCAATACAAATACGGCATAATGTAACCATAATAGTTACACACACGCACTCAGCCATAGCTAACACCTCACCTTAGGTTTAACAACATCAAGTACAGTAGCATTATTGTTTAATTACCTTGTAGTCAACACCGTTTAGTACCCAACACGATTGTTGTTCAGTGCCATGCAAAAACCCCCAACGCTCACCACCTCCCCCCATTCACGTCGCACATCTTGCCCTGGACACCGCGACATCGGCTCCCGCCTCGCGCGCCCTCGGGGCCAGAGAACCTCAAAAGACACACAACCCCACGAATGTTAAACCCATCGCCAAATTGGCGCTTGAACGGGCGCCGACGCCAATAAAGGCGACCCGAGGCGACGCACGGGAGACGCTTTGTCCCAGAGGCCTGCGCTAGTCGAGTCGGCCGTGACGGTGAAAACTCGCGAACCCCTCGACCCAAACCCCCCACCACCCGCCCGCCCGCTCGGCGTCGTTCGCCTACATACCAAGGTTCAAGATCGTCGTCACGGTCGTTATTATCGCGCCCACCCTGATGCTGCCGTTATCGGTGGCGGCGCTGTCACCGCTGCGCTCCGGCAGGACGAACCGAGGAGCGATTCCGCGAGGCGGAGACGCAGCGGACCTGAGGCCTCCTCCTCCTCCTACTACTCGCGACGACTGCGGCTCCCACAATGCCTAGCGACACGGGCGCACGCGCACAAGGGCGCGTCTAATAGGAGGGGGGCGAGGGGAGGGGGGTGAGGGGAGGGGGGTGAGGGGGTCGAGGTGAGGGGAGGGGGTGAGGGGGGTCGAGGGTAGGGGGGGTCGAGGGTAGGGGTGAGGGGAGGGGTGGGGTGAGGGGCTGAGATGAGTAGGAGGGAGGGGAGGGGCTGGGATAAGGAGGAGTGAGGGGAGGGGCTGGGATGAGTCGGAGGGAGGGGAGGGGCTGGGATGAGTAGGAGGGAGGGAGGGGCTGGGATGAGTAGGAAGGAGGGAGGGGCTGGGATGAGTAGGAGGGAGGGGCTGGGATGAGTAGGAGGGAGGGAGGGGCTGGGATGAGTAGGAGGGAGGGGAGGGGCTGGGATGAGTAGGAGAGAGGGGAGGGGCTGGGATGAGTAGGAGGGAGGGGAGGGGCTGGGATGAGTAGGAGGGAGGGGAGGGGCTGGGATGAGTAGAAGAGAGGGGAGGGGCTGGGATGAGTAGGAGGGAGGGGAGGGGCTGGGATGAGTCGGAGGGAGGGGAGGGGCTGGGATGAGTCGGAGGGAGGGGCTGGGATGAGTAGGAGGGAGGGGAGGGGCTGGGATGAGTAGGAGGGAGGGGAGGGGCTGGGATGAGTAGGAGGGAGGGGAGGGGCTGGGATGAGTAGAAGAGAGGGGAGGGGCTGGGATGAGTAGGAGGGAGGGGAGGGGCTGGGATGAGTAGGAGGGAGGGGAGGGGCTGGGATGAGTAGGAGAGAGGGGAGGGGCTGGGATGAGTAGGAGGGAGGGGAGGGGCTGGGATGAGTAGGAGGGAGGGGAGGGGCTGGGATGAGTAGAAGAGAGGGGAGGGGCTGGGATGAGTAGGAGGGAGGGGAGGGGCTGGGATGAGTCGGAGGGAGGGGAGGGGCTGGGATGAGTCGGAGGGAGGGGCTGGGATGAGTAGGAGGGAGGGGAGGGGCTGGGATGAGTAGGAGGGAGGGGAGGGGCTGGGATGAGTAGGAGGGAGGGGAGGGGCTGGGATGAGTAGAAGAGAGGGGAGGGGCTGGGATGAGTAGGAGGGAGGGGAGGGGCTGGGATGAGTAGGAGGGAGGGGAGGGGCTGGGATGAGTCGGAGGGAGGGGAGGGGCTGGGATGAGTCGGAGGGAGGGGCTGGGATGAGTCGGAGGGAGGGGAGGGGCTGGGATGAGTAGGAGGGAGGGGAGGGGCTGGGATGAGTAGGAGGGAGGGGAGGGGCTGGGATGAGTAGGAGGGAGGGGAGGGGCTGGGATGAGTCGGAGGGCGGGGAGGGGCTGGGATGAGTAGGAGAGAGGGGAGGGGCTGGGATGAGTAGGAGGGAGGGGAGGGGCTGGGATGAGTAGGAGGGAGGGGAGGGGCTGGGATGAGTAGAAGAGAGGGGAGGGGCTGGGATGAGTCGGAGGGAGGGGAGGGGCTGGGATGAGTCGGAGGGAGGGGAGGGGCTGGGATGAGTCGGAGGGAGGGGCTGGGATGAGTAGGATGGAGGGGAGGGGCTGGGATGAGTAGGAGGGAGGGGAGGGGCTGGGATGAGTAGGAGGGAGGGAGGGGCTGGGATGAGTAGGAGGGAGGGAGGGGCTGGGATGAGTAGGAGGGAGGGAGGGGCTGGGATGAGTAGGAGGGAGGGGAGGGGCTGGGATGAGTAGGAGTGAGGGGAGGAGCTGGGATGAGTAGGAGGGAGGGAGGGGCTGGGATGAGTAGGAGGGAGGGGAGGGGCTGGGATGAGTAGGAGGGAGGGGAGGGGCTGGGATGAGTAGGAGGGAGGGGAGGGGCTGGGATGAGTAGAAGAGAGGGGAGGGGCTGGGATGAGTAGGAGGGAGGGGAGGGGCTGGGATGAGTAGGAGTGAGGGGAGGGGCTGGGATGAGTAGGAGGGAGGGGAGGGGCTGGGATGAGTAGGAGGGAGGGGAGGGGCTGGGATGAGTCGGAGGGAGGGGAGGGGCTGGGATGAGTCGGAGGGAGGGGCTGGGATGAGTCGGAGGGAGGGGCTGGGATGAGTAGGAGGGAGGGGAGGGGCTGGGATGAGTAGGAGGGAGGGAGGGGCTGGGATGAGTAGGAGGGAGGGGAGGGGCTGGGATGAGTAGGAGGGAGGGAGGGGCTGGGATGAGTCGGAGGGAGGGGCTGGGATGAGTAGGAGGGAGGGGAGGGGCTGGGATGAGTAGGAGGGAGGGGAGGGGCTGGGATGAGTAGGAGGGAGGGAGGGGCTGGGATGAGTAGGAGGGAGGGAGGGGCTGGGATGAGTAGGAGGGAGGGAGGGGCTGGGATGAGTAGGAGGGAGGGGAGGGGCTGGGATGAGTAGGAGGGAGGGGAGGGGCTGGGATGAGTAGGGAGGGAGGGGAGGGGCTGGGATGAGTAGGAGTGAGGGGAGGGGCTGGGATGAGTAGGAGGGAGGGAGGGGCTGGGATGAGTAGGAGGGAGGGGAGGGGCTGGGATGAGTAGGAGGGAGGGGAGGGGTTGGGATAATGAGGAGTGAGGGGAGGGGCTGGGATGAGTAGGAGGGAGGGGCTGGGACGAGTAGGAGGGAGGGGAGGGGCTGGGATGAGTAGGAGAGAGGGGAGGGGCTGGGATGAGTAGGAGGGAGGGGAGGGGCTGGGATGAGTAGGAGGGAGGGGAGGGGCTGGGATGAGTAGAAGAGAGGGGAGGGGCTGGGATGAGTAGGAGGGAGGTGAGGGGCTGGGATGAGTAGGAGAGAGGGGAGGGGCTGGGATGAGTAGGAGGGAGGGGAGGGGCTGGGATGAGTAGGAGGGAGGGGAGGGGGCTGGGATGAGTCGGAGGGAGGGGAGGGGCTGGGATGAGTCGGAGGGAGGGGCTGGGATGAGTCGGAGGGAGGGGCTGGGATGAGTAGGAGGGAGGGGAGGGGCTGGGATGAGTAGGAGAGAGGGGAGGGGCTGGGATGAGTAGAAGAGAGGGGAGGGGCTGGGATGAGTAGGAGGGGAGGGGAGGGGCTGGGATGAGTAGGAGGGAGGGAGGGGCTGGGATGAGTAGGAGGGAGGGGAGGGGCGGGGATGAGTAGGAGGGAGGGGAGGGGCTGGGATGAGTCGGAGGGAGGGGAGGGGCTGGGATGAGTAGGAGAGAGGGGAGGGGCTGGGATGAGTAGGAGAGAGGGGAGGGGCTGGGATGAGTAGGAGGGAGGGGAGGGGCTGGGATGAGTCGGAGGGAGGGGAGGGGCTGGGATGAGTAGGAGAGAGGGGAGGGGCTGGGATGAGTAGGAGGGGAGGGGAGGGGCTGGGATGAGTCGGAGGGAGAGGGAGCGGCTGGGATGAGTAGGAGAGAGGGGAGGGGCTGGGATGAGTAGGAGGGAGGGGAGGGGCTGGGATGAGTAGAAGAGGAGGGGAGGGGCTGGGATGAGTCGGAGGGAGGGGAGGGGCTGGGATGAGTAGGAGAGAGGGGAGGGGCTGGGATGAGTAGGAGGGAGGGGAGGGGCTGGGATGAGTAGGAGGGAGGGGAGGGGCTGGGATGAGTAGAAGAGAGGGGAGGGGCTGGGATGAGTAGGAGGGAGGGGAGGGGCTGGGATGAGTCGGAGGGAGGGGCTGGGATGAGTAGGAGGGAGGGGAGGGGCTGGGATGAGTAGGGAGGGAGGGGAGGGGCTGGGATGAGTAGGAGGGAGGGGAGGGGCTGGGATGAGTAGAAGAGAGGGGAGGGGCTGGGATGAGTAGGAGGGAGGGGAGGGGCTGGGATGAGTAGGAGGGAGGGGAGGGGCTGGGATGAGTAGGAGGGAGGGGAGGGGCTGGGATGAGTAGGAGGGAGGGGAGGGGCTGGGATGAGTAGAAGAGAGGGGAGGGGCTGGGATGAGTAGGAGGGAGGGGAGGGGCTGGGATGAGTCGGAGGGAGGGGCTGGGATGAGTAGGAGGGAGGGGAGGGGCTGGGATGAGTAGGAGGGAGGGGAGGGGCTGGGATGAGTAGGAGGGAGGGGAGGGGCTGGGATGAGTAGAAGAGAGGGGAGGGGCTGGGATGAGTAGGAGGGAGGGGAGGTGCTGGGATGAGTAGGAGGGAGGGGAGGGGCTGGGATGAGTCGGAGGGGAGGGGAGGGGCTGGGATGAGTAGGAGAGAGGGGAGGGGCTGGGATGAGTAGGAGGGAGGGGAGGGGCTGGGATGAGTAGGAGGGAGGGGAGGGGCTGGGATGAGTAGAAGAGAGGGGAGGGGCTGGGATGAGTAGGAGGGAGGGGAGGGGCTGGGATGAGTCGGAGGGAGGGGAGGGGCTGGGATGAGTCGGAGGGAGGGGCTGGGATGAGTAGGAGGGAGGGGAGGGGCTGGGATGAGTAGGAGGGAGGGGAGGGGCTGGGATGAGTAGGAGGGAGGGAGGGGCTGGGATGAGTAGGAGGGAGGGAGGGGCTGGGATGAGTAGGAGGGAGGGAGGGGCTGGGATGAGTAGGAGGGAGGGGAGGGGCTGGGATGAGTAGGAGTGAGGGGAGGGGCTGGGATGAGTAGGAGGGAGGGAGGGGCTGGGATGAGTAGGAGGGAGGGGAGGGGCTGGGATGAGTAGGAGGGAGGGGAGGGGTTGGGATAATGAGGAGTGAGGGGAGGGGCTGGGATGAGTAGGAGGGAGGGGCTGGGACGAGTAGGAGGGAGGGGAGGGGCTGGGATGAGTAGGAGAGAGGGGAGGGGCTGGGATGAGTAGGAGGGAGGGGAGGGGCTGGGATGAGTAGGAGGGAGGGGAGGGGCTGGGATGAGTAGGAGGGAGGGGAGGGGCTGGGATGAGTAGAAGAGAGGGGAGGGGCTGGGATGAGTAGGAGGGAGGGGAGGGGCTGGGATGAGTAGGAGAGAGGGGAGGGGCTGGGATGAGTAGGAGGGAGGGGAGGGGCTGGGATGAGTAGGAGGGAGGGGAGGGGCTGGGATGAGTCGGAGGGAGGGGAGGGGCTGGGATGAGTCGGAGGGAGGGGCTGGGATGAGTCGGAGGGAGGGGCTGGGATGAGTAGGAGGGAGGGGAGGGGCTGGGATGAGTAGGAGAGAGGGGAGGGGCTGGGATGAGTAGAAGAGAGGGGAGGGGCTGGGATGAGTAGG